TCAGGGTGCTTCCAGTCTGCACAGAGGAATACCTTAAACAGAGAGTGTAGAGGAAATGTCTTTGCAGCTATAGGAGCTCTGAAAGGTTCAAGGCTGGACACAGCAGGCTGATCCTCCAAGAGCAAAGTAATGTGTACGGCATCTATTAGAGCCAGCACAACCTCTTGTAAATCTGAGGGGATGGCAGGAGATTGTGGTGGTGCTTCCAAAACCATCTCATTAGGAATTGACTGTGAGGACTCACAGAGTCAGAGAGGGTCTCTGTAAGTGGTGGCCCTGCCTGTTCCCTGGAACATCAGAGATAGACTCTGCAGGGAAAGGCACAAGATCACATTTAGAGCCTCTGTGGTTGGTTTACGCAAAGAATGGGGTGACTGCAGTAGAGGCCCCTGACAACAGGGTAGGGGACTTGGCCTTAACCAATGGGGCTAAGGGAGACTAATCAGTTAGATCCAATAACCCCAGAATCACTGGGATTCTGATTAGACATCAGTGCCCTCAGAAGGTACAGAGTAAACACATTCGGGACTGTTGGGATCACCTGTAGCAGCAGGACTGTTCCTCTGTGTCCGGATACACGACTGTCTACTAGTAATGCAACTAGTCTCAAGATTTGAGGCAAGGCCTCAGATACTCATAAAACCAGTCAGCTGGTGCTGATGAGGGTCAGATTGCTGGAGGTAACCAAGGACAGGAACCAAATCCTGTAGGCAGCAGTAAAACCGGACAGTATCTGTGTCCCTCAGTGGAAAAGAAAATACATGTAATGATGTATTCATAAATACAGAACTGAATTCATTTATCTGTAGTCTCTGCATGGAACTGGGTCTCCCAGAGCTCTTACCATAATGTTACCACTGCCATCTTTTTCAGGTCTGACACATATGACATGACTCCCCTGCACAAAGAAGTAGCATCATCCCAGCACCAGACTCTTACTGGGCCGCAGTCCGGGTACAATTCTAAAAACCGGTAGCAGGAAGAAGGGGGTTTTATGGTATTACAGATATACATAAATGTCTTCTGCCCAAAAAAAAGTACCTGCTTTGAATGTTTTTTCCAATGTAAGCTCAGTTCTGCCATAAGACTATGTTATACCAGCAGTAATAACAGATTACATTTATCACCATTAGGGCTCACACCGTGTGCATTGGGCATCGCATTCCCAGCACAATAACAAGAAAAAAAACATTGTTTTCAATGTTCCCAATACCCTGTTTTGTGTGCTGGGTGAAAATAGGACATGCTGCATTTAAATGTATTACAATGTACTGCAGCACAAAATAAAAATATGATTATTTGGCTCTGCTGTGGAAAAAAAAATAATTGGTAGCTACACATTAAAAACAGCCGGTCACACACCTCAGCACAAGTGCTTCTAACATGCGTCATCTCAAGCTAAACACAATGCACATGTTGTGAATACAGCCAATACCTAAAGGAAATCTGGGAGTCGCGTTGGTGGTTGTCTAACCAGAACATTTCATTTCCATTCAGTTTTACACCAGCAGTATTTGATGAAATGGTTACAATCATTACCATTAATGTGACTATGCCAATATCCAAAGGAAATGTGGAAGCCGGGCTGGTGGTTGTCTAACCAGAACATTTTATTTCTCTTTCAGCAGAATATACATTCTTCAGCTCTATTCAATAACACATGTAATAACTTTCTTCACATTAATCTTAACAGATTTAGGCTGCAATCTATGAAACTGGAAGTGCCGTGTATTTAAGACACAAGAGTGTAAACGGAAAATCTTTTATATTTCTTGAACTAAAATTATTCCTCCTCATGGAATGCTCACAAAACTGTTACTTGCAATATTTCCCCAAAAAACCCCAAAACTATGCCAAGTCAGTGTCATAAGTTATACCCATATGTGTTGGGTATAACCAGAGCTGCACCAAATGGCCAAAAAAACTGCTGAGAGCTCGTTAATCATGTCCGCTGCTTGCTTGAAAAAATGTAAAAAAAACAAACAAACGTTTTGTTTGAACGCATACTATGGTGAAGAACTTTTAGTTTAAATTCGCTAAATGCATTCCAGGTACATCAAAATAAAAGGTGTGCATTTGGTGTGTACAAGTCTTAGGCCTTGTACACACCAAATGCAGAGCAGATCCGGTCAGGTTTCTGCACACGCAGTGCAGTGGGTTGTGCCGCGTTTTTGATGCGTTCCAGAGCAGGTAAAATAGGGCTTGCCACAATTTTTTCACCTGCTCTGGATCTGCACGCTGCGATGTGAACTGGAGCTCAAAATACCATAGGAATACATTGGACGCAGTTTTGATCCGGTCTGCACCTGCTCTGCTCTGGATCTGCTCCGCGCTTGGTGTGAACAAGCCCTTAGAAATTAATTTATCAACACTGCAGCAGACAAAATCTGGAGCAGTTGTGCACGGCAACCAATCAGCTTCCCTCTTTCATTTTCAAATCTTAACTGAAAAAACTGGAGAGAGAAGCTGATTGGTTGCCGTAGGCAAGTGCTCCAGATTTTGTCTGCTCCAGATCTGATAAATTCCCCTCTGTGAGTTCATTTTCTTTAGAAAGTAGTCACAGCCTGAGTAGAAATGCCTGTCCCATGACAGCATGCTGCAGAGGAATCTGTGTATGGAAGCAGTGGTCTCTCTGCAAAGGGCCAACATGCCCCCTATAATTTAGATCAATCTTTCTGCACTCAGCTAAGCTCATGCTGCTTGTTGATTGGTGAGCGCCAGCCCTGTTGCTCAGCAGAAGGCATGTAGGACCATCGCTTCTACATAGCTGTGGCTGCTTTCTGGAGAAAATGAACTTTAAAGCTGTCCATACACCTAGAGATGATCTGCAGATTTTCTAGGGTCAGATGGAAAGAGTGCCACAGATCCCTCCATCTATGCTACACTGTGTGGATAGAGGAATCCCCTTCTGGGCCAAGCTTCAGTATCTTGATAGTCGGCCCCGCTGGCTCTCAAAATACCTGAACAATCTGATTGGATGCAGGCACTGTTCATGTGTTTTGGGAGCCAGCGGGGCCGACTAGCAAGACACTGAATCTTGGCCCAGAGGGGGATTCCTCTATCCACACAGTGTAGCGTAGATGGAGGAATCTGTGGCCCTTTTCCCATCTGACCATAGAAAGTCTGCAGATCATCTCTAGGTGTATGGCCAGCTTAAGTATTTGCACCTTTTTGTTTTGATGCCCCTGGAATGTATTCAGCTGATTTAAAATGAAAGCGTCACTGGGCTTTAAAATATTACAAATTCTATACACACAAAAAACACTGAACAGAAAGTCATTTCTTCTACATCTAAGCTCCTCGCTTACTTTCAACTATTTTAAAACTAGTAAAATCTGCAAAATATTATTTTTTTTTAAACAAGTTTCCATTTTAAAGGGTGCCTTCAAGAAGAGCCTTCACACCCATTCTTCACTGACTCTCCCAACCATTAGAGGCTGTCTGTGTCCTCCTCTCTAATAAATAGAGACTATTGCAGAGCACAAAGAATGTCATAAAACCATATCGATAGTTCTATGCAACTCTGATACATGATGTGCTAAGAGTGGTCATGGTCAGATGAGAGCAGTGGGTGTGATAATTCTCCATTTTCACATTCATGTAAGGACGCCTTATAGATAAATCTCCTTTATGATTCAGAATCAATGCCGCAGCTGTCCATTGTAAGAGCTGCGATTCTAGATTTCAACTGCACTGCCTCCTGCTGGTGAAATCTGATGTTGCAGCTCTGAATACATTGTATCAGAAGGGAATACAGCTTCCAGCCAAACACGATATCTAGATTTGGGTTAAATACAAGTGTGATGGATCACCTGGCTGCTTCAGTTATCTCATACTTAAAGCAGCTGTTGGTGAGATCCCTACACTTGGGCAATAAGAACTGCAACCAACCAATGTTGCAGATGTGAATCATGCTCTTGACATTTTATTTCTCCATGAATTTTACATGATGGAGAATTCTTTGCTTGTCTGATAATGGCTGTCCCTTATGCCTTCAAATCAAAATGAAACACCCCCCAAGCCTGGGGCCTCATGCCTACAGAACTGGCCAACAAATGTTGTTTCAGCCGACAGTTCCCAGGATCTCCAGAGACAATGCATTAAAAGCCTCACTTGGGTCCGTGGTATTTTGTATATTACAACAGTGAACACCATTAAGAATTTCATGGGTTGTTATAATAGTTTGGTGAAATTCAGTGAATAAATACTCTGATGCTTTAAATAGATTCTAAATGTTTGTTGGATTAGTCTGTGGTGTGCACCATCTGCAATGATCACTGAGATATGAAGATACTACCAAAGCATTAAAGCATATTCTCAAGGAACACATACTCTAAAACAACCAAATAAAAGGAACTTTTGGTTCATAAAGTTAATTCTTCGTACACACAGGCCAAAGCAACAGGTTCACTTTAATCCCTCCCCTCCTCCCCAGCAGCACATACTTACCTTTCTTTTGCACCTCCAGCTCTTGCTTCAGCTACTGGGAGTGTGATGGAAGGCTATGGACTCCCCGTATGAGTGATTGGCCAAACGCCATCACATGGAGTGAAAAATCATGCTTTTACAGACCTGTAACTAACAAGTATTTGTTTCGAGAAGAGAAGGAGCGATGGGGAATTGAGCATATGCTTCTGGGAGAACTACCATTAAGTGAACCTGCTGCTTTGTTCTGAAGAAACAAGACACAGGTTTGCTTTAACTGTTAGTATCCTTCTACCCTTTCTCAAAAAAAAAAAAAAACCCGCCAGAATTTCAGGGCAATAAAAAGGCAAACTATAAACACACTATCATAGCCTGTCATTCTGCTTCTCAGAACAGACTTACAGGTAATGCTCATTATTAAAGCCAATCTAAAAGCAGGAATGCATGCAGCATTTTGAACATACTTACATACTCCGCAAAAGGAACTCTTTTGTTAAAAAATAAAATGAGCTAACTGAGCCATTTCAAAAGTCCATCTTGATAGAACTTGAGAAGTACATGTTGGGAAACCATCTTTAGCCTTTATCATGGGCTTTTCCGGGGTGGAAAGGCAATACCATCTGCAGGGCACACCACAGTGCTGTGCGCACTTTCCGAGTCGCCACAGTCAGCTCCCTGATCGAGTTGGCAAGGGCACAGACATCTGAGATGGGGAAACAGAAGCAAAACACTGTTCTTTATATGAAAACAAACATTCATATATTTCAACTAAACAAAACTTTACAGAAGCCCCCTATGTGATAGCAAAAAGACCCCTGATGTCTACATAAAGAGGACCTGCTACTGTATATTAGACCAATGTCACCCAGAGACCCCCAAAAGGTGCTAATAAAGCAGAGATCTACTTTACCAGCTTCTCTCCAGCTACAGAAGCCGGAGAAATGACAGGCTGAAGTGATGTATAACACATCACTTCCGCATGCAAAGATCAGAGGGAAGACGTGTGCTGATCTCCCTCCAATCTCAGGTCCTGCATGGGGGACAGGGGAGTCTGGGATAGGCGGCCCACACACTTGCAGGCAACATACAAATGATCGGGCGGCTCTACAGCTGCCCAAATGCTTGAGTGTAAACAGCCATCAACGGCTGTTTAAACTGCTGTCAGTTTCCAAATCTTGCGCTCGCGGGGGGTACGCACAAGCAGGAGAGGACGTTCTGAAACGCCCACCCGCGTACAAGAGTGTCCCATCTACAGAAGCAGCCCTGCCACACCTGTGCCTCCCCACCTGCGCCTGACTGTTACCCCTGCATTGTTCTGTTCTGAAATATGGCCCTAATGCGCAGGGTGTGTCTGCAATTCACAACCAGAAAACATATTAGAAATACATATAACTTGATATTATGTGATTGTCTGTTGATGGCATTTATTGGATTTCTCCATCCTCTGTATTCTATCACAGTCTCATACAAATACAAGATTTGGTTCAGAGTGGTCCCTACCTCTGTCATCCTGTGGGTGAGTCCTTTTATGCTTTTGGCGCCCTGAAGTGTTCACCATCTCCTCCTTGCGTCGGGCTTGAACAAGGTGAATCGTTTCCAGGTAGAGATCGAGAACAGTAGATATGTTGGCGTGAAATGGCGCACTGCAGTAGCGCTCCATTTTTCCCACCAGGGTCACCACCTTGTAAACACAAAACAAGTTAACCTTAGGTAGCAATGGTAATAATAAAATACTAATAATAAGTATTAACCAGAATAACCAGTGGTGAATATTGACTGGAACAGGGGTAAGCAAACTTCATCTCTCCAGCTGTGGTGAAACTACAAGCTGGTGTCTGGCTAGGCATCTGGTTTGCCGCAGGTCATAACAGCAAAAAGGTGCTCTACTAAGTACTAATGTGCTTGCCATGAAGGGGTTACCTAGTCTATGTCAGGGCAAAAGAAATCAATAAGCATGTGCTATACACCACTGCGATACATTTCAATGGGTTTTGGTTCTTTAAAGCACTACATGTGCAGAAATCTACCTACTGAATGTGCTAAAAATCCAGAGATAATAATCTTCTGTTTGAGCTGACAACTCTGCCTCTGCTGCACCTCCAATTGCACTGCAATGCCAAACAGTGCTGTAAGCTCTTCCTGAGTTTCCCCTGCTGCACTACAGAACTCCACCTCATCTTCATAAAAAAGGTGAGGGTGTACCATAGCCCAGCAGGCACACACCATTAAATCAATGGATACTTGCATTTACACTTTTTCCTTGTGGAACAAGCCTCTACATATTCAGCTGCTTTCTGTAATCTGAGCATACAAGTGCGAGCCAGTGAGATGACATTTTTATACCGTGCTGTGTACATTCTGCCAACAAGAGGGCGAGCTACGCACCATGCCACTGCAGATATGAGCTATTTATACATAAAATGTAAGCATGCACCATTACCCTTTTGTTGATTGTATGGGAAAGTCACAGCATAATCCTGTAGTTTTATTAAACAGCCTACTGCATGGTGTAAAGGAAAACAATATACACTATATAACAACAAGTTCAGTGCTTACTCTAGCTTGTTCATGCAACTGATCCACTATCAGGCGGTCAACTCTGGAGGGATTTGCAGGAAGTTTTGGAATGCAAATGTTGTTTACATTGGGCAGCGTCTTCCCTGGGTAAGCCTGCACGAAGACACACTCTGTCTGAAACCAAAGTACAGCCACATTCATTACTGCATATTTATATTTTCTTTCCTTTACATTAATGGAGGATCTGCTGTTTACTACAAGGATAACAGGATCCATTTAAGTGTTCAGGCCCAACGCCTGGTTACCAACAACAACAAAATAAATCTTCAAAGATACTGCTTTGCAGCAAGAGTTAAAATAAAAGCCTTTCCTGCTGCAATACTCACCCTCCAGCGCTGTCCCCTACATACCACTCCAATGATGGCCCTCTTGCAGGTTGAATGATGTCCTATATCATTCAACAGCCTTCGTGTGACCTGCCATCTGGGGTGGCTCATCATGCTACCTTGTGCCCACAGGGCAATGATGCACGGAACCATGTCATTATAAGACATCAATAGAAGTGGAAATCTAATGGCCACAAAAAACACTGGTGTATTCACCATAGAATAATAGGTATGCCCTGTCTTCAACAATTATCAATTATTAGAGGTGCACCGAAATGGACATTTTTAAACCGAAACCGAAATAAAAAAAATTGTCAGGCCAAAACCGAAAATGTTTTTTATTTTAATTTTTTCAAATCTTTTTAATATTTTATTTTAAAAATGTTTTATATTTATTAATTCATTTTTTATTAAATATTTGAATTTTTCACATTACTTTTAGGGGCTTCGGGGAAATATTAGGGGTCTAAACAGACCCCTGATATTTCCCTTTTAAAATAGCAAAAGAGATTGAGGACACAGAGTCCTCAATCTCTTTTTCTGCATCCCCTGTTATCAATGAACAGGAATCCTCTATGAGTGTTCCTGTTCATTGATAACATGAGGACATGGTATGTTTACTATACCTACAACTATGAATAAACAGGAGATGTAGATCACTCCCATTCGTTCATAATTGAGGATATAGTTAACATATCATGTCCTCAATTATGTACAATACACTCAGCAATCACTGAGTGTTTGTACCGCTCTCCTCTCTGACACGCTCTCATAGGAGGCTGAGCGGTGCAGGGAGGAGAGCTTAGCCTCCTGTGACAGCGCGGCCTGTCTTCGCCCCCACACCGCTCTGCGATAGGGGGCTGAGCGGTGTAGGGAGGAGAGCTCAGCCTCCTGTGACAGCGCTGGCTGTCTCTGCCCCCACACCACTCTGCTGGACTGTGATAGGCGGCTGAGCGGTGTGGGAGGAGAGACACCAGGCGTTCACAGCGCTCTCCTCTCGCAGCGCTCAGCCGGCTGTCACTTTCTCTCCTCCCCGCTGGGACACAGAGCAGCGCCCAGCGGGGAGGAAAGAAAGCACGGATGAGAAGATTTATCGGCAGGAAAATGGCACTTTTGGCATTATGGCAAAAGTGCCATTTTGGGCCAATATATCGATGCATCCCTATCAATTATATTTAATATTATACTAATAGGAGAAATACGAGAATATTATAGGAGAAAAAAAAACTTTGGGTATCCTTTATAAACAGCCAAGACAAAACAAAGACATATATAATGTTAAATATACAAAAAAATCAATAACTTTATTACAAATGCCACAAAAATGATTTTTAAAAAACACAGTATACTGTATATGCAGAATAAACACATCTCTGTAATCTCCTAAAGTCAGTCGCTTATATTAACACAATTACATCAAGCGAACGATACATTCCAAGAAAATTGTGTACAAAATGAAATATATGTTAGACATCATAGCATGTGAAGTAATACCGTATATTGTAGCACAATATAGTGCTACAAAAATGGACCCCCTTCATAGTTGCTCTAAACATTCATCTTATAAAGGAACATCACAAGACATTCCAATAAATACAATTTATAACAATATGTGTCCTGGTCCACAATGCTTTGAAAGGCATTTACATATAGAAAAGATGGTATTCATTATTTTTTTAGTGGCATTTGTAATAAACTTATTGATTTGTTTTTGGTATATTTAAGGTTATATAAACTTTTTAGCATAAAGGATACCCAAAGTTTTTTTTTCTCTCCTATAATTCTATTTTTTCATTATATGACACCACTCTGCAGTGTATAGGGTCTGTCTACCAGCCACATGAAGAAGAAGTGGAGTCGTGACATCACACAACCAATCCAAAAAATGAAAGAAACAAGCCATGTATTTATTTTTCTTTTTAAAAATAAAAGCAGCATGTTGGGGAGGAAGGGGTGTGCTCCAATGTTAGGGCCTGGATTTGGGCTTTCAGTCTATAAGTTTGTAAGACCATTAAAAAAAAAAAAGTGCTGTAACAAGACTTGTAGTTAGAAAATGTTTAAAGGCCACCAAACCGTGTGATTATTTTAAGGGGCGGGGGGGAGGGGGGGTGATTCTTTCCTATACCCACCTAAGTTGTCTGCCAGAAGGGGGTTATCTAGGTACTCCACAATGGGAATGCTCCGAGAGTGCAGAAAGTCCAAGCACCTTGGTGGTGTAGAAGATAGGCCAAATGACAGGGCCACACACTGGAGGGTGAAGAGGACCCACAGCAAAAGGTAGAAAACATTAATGCACTGGAAAGATGGGGACATCTAGGTAAACCTAATTGATGTCCACAGAGGCCAAAAAGTCTCTCTGGTGGAGAGTTGCTATGACAGACTTGGTATATTCCATGAGGAATTTCTGGGCCCAAATGAAGACATTTAGATCCTTGAGATCCAAGACTGATGGATTAAATGTCCCCCTTTGGCTTGGGATTTGTGAACAGGTTAGAGAAGAACCCCTGAAACCATTTTGCCACATGGCGATCTGCTAACCTGCGCAGTGACACAGGCAGGTTCGAAGTGATAAACCAGAGATGTGGTTGGGAGCAAAACTATGGTGTAGCCACTGGAAAGCACATTCAGCACCAAAGCCCACATGTCTGCAAATGCTATGAGACCTCCCCCTACTTTACTTTGGAAAGTGGGGGTGCATTATCATGCTGAAGAAAACCTGTCTTGGGGTTTGTGAGATTTGGAATTCCAAGGTTTGCCGGCAAACTGGGGGCCAGACTTTGAGTACAAGTTTGTAAAAACAATTCAAAGTTGGATTTCTGTACTTATCATAAAATACATTTCTTGTAAGTCTGGACGCTGGCAAACAGAAAATTCAAAAGCCAGCCTCCAGTATAACCCCTGTTCTACCCAGCATGCCTCAGTTCTGCGGTAAAGCAGTACCCAAAGGAGCACAGACCATTAACCAACCTGGTGCTCTAGACAAGATGAAGAAAATAGTGACTCCCTTCTGCACAACTTTAGTAAATACATATTACAGTTGTTTCTCTTTCGAGCATATAGTGTCTGTATACATACCTTCCTTCTTTCCTGTTCCAGAGCTCTGCATTGTTGGTAACACTCTTCCAAACGCAGATGAAGTTGAGCTGCTGACCTGCTTCGAAGCTTTGTGGACTTCTGACTGCTAAGCATAGGTGCCATGTTCTGCAATGAGTTATCTCCATGTAGAAGGTCACTGATCTGAGGATACATCTGGCCCAGTTCTTTATAGGTATAACTGTCCATTAAGGGAAGGTTAGAAGCCTCTGTCTTGTCACACAAACATGATTGGAAATGAGTGGCAGAAAGGGATGATAAGTTATTGGCCATGTTATCCATCATCAATGCATTGAGAGAACACGCAGTAAGCGGATAGGTCGCTTTACTGCTGCTCATTGCCTTATTATCGCCACTTTCTAGTCTTTGGTTTTTACAGTTTGGCCTGTTGCAAAGAATCCCTTGATAGATACGAGCTAGGTATTCAGGGTGTAGCTGCTCTGCATGGTACTGCATTCTCTTATCTTGGTAGATTCTCTTGCCAGTGTTTTCATGAGAATTACTACAATTTAATACATTCTCATGCAAGCCATTAAATAGTTCCAACCTTTTTTCAGAGACTACTTGCAGCGCACATTCCCCTTTAGTACTGCCAAACCTGTCGTTAGTTTGGTCACTACCATAACCATAATCAAGGGAAGGATATGCAGGGCTTTTACTGTGATGGCTTTGAAAATTGCTGTCAGGCCCAAGAGGAGAGCATGTTGAGGAATAATGAGACCCAAGCACTGGGCCTTTCTGGGAGGCAGATGAAAAGCTGTTTACCTGCCTCCCAGGTAAAGTAGGATAAGAGTTGCTATGAGGCTGGCTGTTCATCCATAAAGGCCAGTCCGAGTTGGCAGTACACAAAATATTGGTCGGCTTCATAACATGAGCACTCTGAACATCATATCTTTGAGTCAACTTCTGCAAGTGACCACCCTCTATCCCCGGTGTTTTCTTCCCATAATCAGATTTATGGTCATATTCCGGCATGAATGATCTATCTGATATATGGTTTGTGGCCTTTGAAAAGGCATAATTTTGATCAGCCATAAAACTGTTAGGTTTGTGACAGCTCTGCTTTACCTGGATTAGTTTAGCATAGACTTCAGCATCCAAACCTGTCAGCTCAGAGGTTACATTAGCTAAACTTCTCCCTTCCTGGAATCCTGGGACAGGGTTTTTACTGAGTTTGGTTCTATTATTATTATTCAGCATGTCGTACCTATCAGGTTCTGTGTAAAAGCTGTACTTGTTTAATGAGGAAACCAATGGCTCTCTATTCTGGAAGGGGTCTTTGGGAGTTTCAGGCACCATGGAAGCTGGTGACAGGCAGTTATTAGCCAGGGAGCTTTCCTTAAAGCCATTTCTGTGGTTTATATTGTAGCTGCTAGGATTATCCATCAGACAGAAATGGGGCCAGCGATCATCCTGTTCAACCCCGGGAAGCTCATGGAATAAATCCTTTGCCTTGTGTGTCTCTGTACTGGGCAGAGATTCCAAACCACGAAAATCCTGCTGTAGGATTGCCAGATCCTCGGCATGCTTTATGTCTGACGGCAGCCCCTGGTGATCAGACAGTCTATTCAGACCTAATGTCCACGAAGATTTCAACGTGGGAGGGCATTTCCTAGAAAAGCAAAAGGTTTAATGGCAGCTCTGCAGATTTCTTATTTTACTAAAAAAAAAAAAAAGCAAGAATCCAAATGATACATGGAAGCAGAATTTCAGGCAAACAGCTCAATTCTGAATCAGCCTTATCACACTAACACCTAATCAGCATTGTTACCGATTCAAATTTGTTTTTAGCTGAGGAAACCTGACAGAGTAGCTATGTGACCTTGCACTATTAAAAACACATTTTTTGTTAGCGGATAAAGATTAATTCTGTTTTTATTAGGGATGCATCGAAATTTCAGCCGCAAAAACATATCTGTTGAAAATGGCACTTTTGGCAAAATGCCGAAAGTACAATTTTTAGGCTGAAATAGCGTTGCATCCCTGCTTTCTCTCCTCCCCGCTGGGCGTTGCTCTGTGTCACAGCGGGGAGGAGAGAAACTGTCACAGGAGGCCAAGCGATGTGAGCGGCCGACGTCTCTCCTCCCCGCTCAGCCTCCTGTGACAGATCAGGAGAGCGGCGGTGTGGGCGGAGACAGATGTCATAGGAGGCTGAGCTCTCCTTCTGTACCGCCCCGCCCAGCCTCCTGTGACAGCCAATCCAGGATGGAGAGCGAGTACAAAGGACAAGCAGTCAGTGATGGCTGAGTGGTTGCAAATAATTGAGGACATAGTATGTTTACTGTATCCTCAATTATGAATGAATGGAAAGTGATCTTGTTAGCAATAAAGTTGAGTGTATAAAAAAGTCCCCTGGCCCCCACTTGCACGCACATACAATGCAAACACGCATCAGGTGCGGCAACGTGGAAAAACGATTTTTGTTATGCCAGTGTCCAAACTTTCTGAAGGCATCAGTATAACCTAAATATCAATTCTGTGTCCCTTGATGAATAAAACATTTTTTTTTGCTTTAATTACACTTTAAGATACTACAGTCTGACTGTACAATCTCATCTAAATTTCCCATCAAAGATTTATCTAGAGGGCTATCCTAAAAAACATTATTCTATTTCTATCCAATTAGACAAGCCCTAACACTACATAGTCCTTGGTACGTGTAAAGTAGATTGCACAGATTGTAATTTTTTTAGTTTTAATGACAATAAAATGTTCCGCCAAATAATGATGAGCCAACATACATACCCATCAGCAAAATAGGGCTGAGCTTTGTCTTGTTCTTCAAGAATATTGGATACCAGTCCATAAAGGTCAGCTTCACTTCCATATTCATTCTTTTCACTTTGTATCCTGACATTGAAATATATCAGTGAACAATACTATACAGGTAACCAGAATTCTACCTGTTCTATAAAATGACAAATGTAAAATCTGCTACTACCAACTTTGTTTTTAAAAGAAGAAGCTCCAAGTCATTCCAATCTTTAATTTCTTTTTAGCAAATCACTAACCAAGAACAAGAATGCAACCACTTAAATGGGAACTGCTAGCTTGCAGGCTTGTTCCACGACAGTGAGTAATGAAAAATGCAGAAAGGCAGCAGCTCCAGGGCCTGCACCTTAAGGCCCCATTCACACTGAGCGATTTGCAAATCGTGCGTTTGTCACGCGATTTGCATTTTGCGCGATATCGCGCAAATGGTTGCATTGAGCAACCTAGAATCGCGGCAAAATCCGCTCCAAAAAGGGTCCTGCTGTAGCGACGCACGACCTGCGACAGCAATGGACAGAGCCCCATTGAGATGCATTGGAGAGCGATATCGCTCAGTGTGAATGGGGCCTTAAAGAAACCCAACTCACAGCGAGATCTCCCAAACTTCTATCTTGCTTTCCATCACTATAACTTTGTATTTGGCTTAGTTCACCTTTCTATAAGGAAAACCACTTACCTCTTTACTCTTCTCAGTATGGCTCTTTTTTGCAGATTTATATTCACCTTTCATTTGGCTGCTTCACTTCATCGTTGTTGTCATCCTGAGACCCCACTGGATCCCCCGGACTATGCAGTGATTACATGCTCAGGAAGTAAAGACAGTCGGCCTCCCCCACTTAAATCACTCACAGAGAAAAAACACGCAAGAAGCACACGTGCACACATACAATGAGAGCTCACGGGGTGGTTAGCTGCTGGGATGAGAGCATCCTCTAAGGAAAGCTCCATCTCTGCCACTTGATCCTTCGCAATATGCTGACTGTTCAGTGCAGCAAACCCTTACATGCCCATATCGCTGGACTCCCTTAACCACTTCAAGACCAGGTGTTTAGACCCCCTTCCTGGCCAGGCCATTTTTCAGTATTCAGCGCTGCGGTACTTTGACTGACGTTTATTCCGTCATGCAACGCTGTACTGAAATGAATTTTATACCATTTTTTGGGGACAGAGCGCTCTTTTGGTGGTATCTAATCACCACTGGGGGTTTTATTTTTTAACTAATTAGGAAAAATTACTAAAAATTTTGGAAAAAAGTGTTTTTTTTTACATTATGTTAGGAAACACTTATTATTACCCAGTTTTTTGCTAAAATATAAGAGTCGGGGTCACGTCGGTTAAATAGACACCAAACATGTCAAGCTTAATATCCCCAAGATGGTTAAAATCGGTTAAAATCGGCCAGGCGAGCAATGTCTTAAGGAAGTTTTGGTAGTGCTTGATGGAGTCACCAGATCACAATTGCGATTGTTGGGTACACTTTATTTGTCAAGAGGTGAATTCCATTACGCCTTGCCATATTGTAATATGGAGTTATTGTGCCAATATACAGTATATGTGTGTGACATTCCTGACTGATGTTATAGGATGAACAATTCCTGTTGTAAAGTACAACTGTGACATTTTCTTTAAAGAATTTTCTATCAAAGAAAAATGTGGCCGGGCAACATCAAAGCACCCAGAGAAAAGCTGATCAAATATCACGGGCAGCGGCGAATCGGGCAGCTCACCGGGAGGAGAGGGCCAGACACATGTCCTCAGCGTGTGCGTGGCGTAAGCGGCTTCCCGTGAGCGGGTATACCGGCGTAGGCGCGAGCGGCTTAAACGACGTGGGCGTGGCGTAAGCGGCGGGCGTAAGCGGCGAGCGGGAAATTTGAATTTTAGCCGATGAATCGACGATGGAAAACGTTGACAACGTTTTCAATCGTCGATTTTAATCGACTTAATCGAATAACTGTTGCAGCTCTAATCAAGATGGCAGCGACTCCCTCATATCACTAGGCATACAGCATGCTGAAAAGAAGTACAGGTATGGAGAGTCCTGACACCATACAGTTAAAGCGTCGGGTGTACCAACTCCAGAAAGGGCAACCTCTGGCTGTGTTAGCACAGGGTAGCAGTACAGAAACACTATACAGGGAAATGCAGAGCCAATCCTTAAGCAGATCATTAAGGCCAATCACCAGTGTCAGAGCTCCTCATAAGCACAGACCAACTCTGTAAAAAATGACCGTCTACTCCTTTAAACGTGATATACAGAAAATGAGGCACCAGGTTTCCAATGCTGAGCAGAGGATTAGTGACACTGAAGATAGTTAACCATGTCACTACTGATTTCCGTAAAGTTCAGAAAGACCTCTAAGATCATACTGCTATGCTGGGGAATCTGGAAGACCTCCGACACAAATCTTTCTGGGTTTCCTAGAGGGTTCAGAGGGCCATAACCCTGGGGCTTTTCTACACAACTGGATTCAAGATAATGAGAGAGCTGCCTAATTACCATAGACAGAGCCAATCATGTTCTTTCAAGTCCCTTGTCTACAAAAGCTGCACTTAGGCCCCTTCTCACCAAAATTCTGTACATCAGAGACAAGGGAGACATGATGATGACAGCCCGGACCCTGGGTGAGCATAGTTATAATACAGCCAGAGAACACTCAAGAAACAAAAGTGTGCATACACAGTCACAGCTTGCACACAACACACACATTTAGAGCACGCACAAGGACAAAGCATACAAGCACAACATACACAGTCTAACAAGAAAACACATAATCATAGAACAAACAGTTTACATAGAATACAGTGCTTTAAGATGGGACACAGGCTGATTACGGTAACTAAGGGAACAGCCCACTTCTTAAAAAAAACGCCCCCTCAAACAGATAATGAATTGCAAAACATTTGGGAGGTGTAGGTGCAGTTCATCAGGGATTTCCCAGTCACCGTACTGAACGTTTAAACATAGTGTGTGTAGTGAAAAATCTTTAGTAGTCTTAGGGCCACTCGGGGAACCTAGACTGGTAGCAGCACTAGTGGAAACAACAGGCGGCTCCTCCAATTTTAGATTGGTATGCACCACATCAATAAAAGCTGAAATGGTCTCGCTCAGCCTGGGAGTTATGGTGGCTGCCTGCCGCTCCCCCGTGACATCATCCTGCAAGGATTGGGATACTCTTCATCAGATAGAGCCCCCACAACTCAAGGCTCAGAGGTCATTAAGGCTGCAGGCAGGTCAAATAATGATTCTGTAGGGGAAGGCACTGAAGTACATCTATATCTGCTGTGGGCAGAATCAGCAGTCAAAGTATCAGTTTGACCCATAAAATCATGCATAACTGTGGTGAAACCGTCACAGGTTAAAACAGAAGAGGGGGCTACCCCTGGTGGAGCCAATGAGAACTCCAAGGAATGTAGGGAATGCAGTGGACCTCATTCCAGGCTGTCGGTGTCATACCCTTGAGAGCTACAACTGTTAGTAGATCATGAACCACAGACACCCGATACAGTGGGACTGCTCCTCTTGTGTTTGAGATTTGACTTTTTACTCCTCAAACAAAAACAACGTAGCTCTAAAACAAGGTGAAATCTTGTGCATACAAGTACTAAACCAGGTTGAACCGTGAGCCTCTTGCAATAAGGAGCAGTGACGGGAAGGTGCTACCTCTCACTGCATGGCAGGAACACAGTGTGGAGTGTGCACAAGGGCAGCACTCAATTACTCAGCATTTTAACCCTTTCTGTGGAAAGCAAAAGGGAATAATCCTGGTGCACAACAATTCTGGTAAATGAAGTAGCTCCAGGTGTTCAGCCCACACCACCTACTGAGGTGGAAAAGTTGGTTAAGCTAAAGAATCCATCTTGATATTCGAGACTCCATCTTGTTATACATAAGTCCCAAAGTTTGTAGAAAGCAACAGTTTTATTTTTGCAAGACTCTGCAAAATATATGATTTATTTCAGTCTGCGGGTTACAGGCATTTTTTCATTTTTTTTATTGGCAGCATCTGTGTGTGGGTAGCTGATAAGGGGACAAATACTCCCAAAATATGGTATAATGACGGACACCAGACCAGGTTGGCCCACAATGAAAGAACTATTAGTCCTTCAATTCTTCAATTACTGTTATGCAAGTATGGGAGGGACCCTGTGACCTGAGAGAGCTAACCCTTTCAAAGCTGTGATACATAATCAAATATTATTGGATGATTTGTATTTCCGTGCCGGCCCAGTGTGGGATGCCACTGGGATGTGTCTCATGAATTATGCTAATGTGCCTTTGCTTAAAAATTTATTTAATTCCTCTTTTTGGGTGTAATAAGCTGGCTATCTTTCTGCCCAACATGCTGTATGCTGAATAAACCTTAAACATGTCAAGGACACAAATCTCTGTTCCTAGTTTGCCAGGTCTGGTTTTCCTGCCAGGACACTACTCAATAATGAGTCTTCAGGGACAGGGTCATAGCAGAGGCTGAGCCACGTACCTGGACCTGGAAAGTGCTCTGCTGCTACTTAAAACAGTACACAAGAGTTCTGTAGAGAACGATAAGCAGAGCCCAGTGGCCAAAGGAAGCCGGGCAACGCGTAATGATGCGCTGACCGGCTTCCTGATTGGTCAGGAAGCTGGCCAATCAGAAAGCCGTGCGCCATGTAATGACGCAGCACCCGGCTTCCATGATCGGCCAGCAAGCCGGCTCCATGCTTTCTCGTCACATAGTGACGAGAAGCATGGGGCGGCTTCCTTGTTAATAGGGAAGCCGGGTGGCGAGTCTTTACACGCTGCCCGGCTAATCAGGAAGCCAGGTGGCGAGTCTTTACACGCTGCCCGGCTAATCAGGAAGCCAGGTGGCGAGTCTTTACACGCTGCCCGGCTAATCAGGAAGCCAGGTGGCGAGTCATTACACGCTGCTTGGCTTCCTAAATGGGACATCCGGTACTCGGTATCGGTGAGTACCGGGGAAAAAATATCGGTACCAAAATACCGGTATCGGTGCAGCCCTAGTAAATATGAACGCTGCAAGCACTAGATACAGAATGCAACAAGCAGAGGGCAGTTGCATCATACACAGGTACAGTATATGCAGCATTGGCTGTGGGGATTCAGAAATATGAAGAGTGACAATGAAACACTAACGTTTCCATACTTATACAGATATCTTTGGTGAGTGCTCCCATCTCCAAATCGCTGGACATTATATGCTGCTTATTATTTAGGCATGAACAAAAACCTGCAAGTTTGTAAAGCTCATTTGGTAGCACATTAAAGTGTAAGTCCAGTGCAGCCATAAAGTTATGCCACTCCCCATGCTTCTGAGGCCTCACTAAAAACATTGTTCACACTGAAGCATAGTAAAACGCTAAAAAACACATATATCACTAGTGACACAAACTTAAATAGGTCATTTAGGGAATTAGCAAACTTGGCTAGTTAAAGTAATAACCAAACTCAATGAAAACTCACTTTGTATTTAGTTGTGCTGCAGTCCCTGGTTTTATCTCATCAGAGTACACAGACCAAGGTGAACAGAGAAGGGAAGAATAAGCCCAGTTTGTAGAATAATTATTAGACGGGCTAGGGACTGAAGACTCATAACCCCGAAGCACATCTATGGTCTCCTCATCCTGAAAAGACATGCAAGATGGAATTTTTTTTCATTTACACATAAAACTGAAGTCTGCTCCCTATATAGTCTGAATACTGAATTCGTAGCTGATTAGCTGTAGACATAACATCACCATTCAAAAAAACTGCATTTTTGTCTTACCTGGAGTATGAACACAGGCACCAATGGGGTTACGCAGCTACCTTCATGTTATTGGACACTGGTAAATTAAAGTTCTAAGGACAGCCCCGTGTAACTCCTTCTACTCCCAGCATGCCTCAGTTTTGTAGCAAGCCATACAAAAGTGGATCCCCAAAAAAGGGGAGGGTCCTGTGATACACTCCAAGAAATGGATTTTACAGGTAAGACAAAAATCCTGATCATACAGCACAGGAAGGAGGGAGCTCCAAAAAAGGGGGTTGCAACATAGCAACAACTGCTAAAGAAAACACAAAGCCCAAAAAGGAACTATAACAGGAGAGGCCCACAAGTCAGAGGCCTGCCTAAACGTCCAGTTGGAAAAACGTGTCAGAAATGTGAACAGGATGACAGCCTTAGGCCTCGTACACATTGAGCGGTTCGCAAATCGCGCGTTTGTCGCGCGATTTGCATTTTGCGCGATATCGCGCAAATGCTTGCAGCAAGCTTAAATAACGGCTAAATCCGCTCCAAAAAGGGTCCTGCTGTAGCGACACACGACAGCAGGACCCTTTGCCCCAATGAGAAGCATTGGAGAGCGATATCGCGCGGTAAATTGCCGCGATATCGTGGGAATTACCGCGCGATAAATCGCTCAATGTGAACGGGGCCTTACAGATTTAGAGAACTGAAGCCCGATGCTGGAAGGCCCATGAAGCACGCTTCCTCTGAAGTGAGCCTTAGCTGGAAAGCGGGGAACTTTATCCTTCAACTCATAGGTGTGAGAGATAGTTGATTGAATGCAACTTGCGAACGTGGAATGAGAAGCTGGCTGCTTCATACAAGGACCTTCAGGGTGACAAATAGGGATTCTAGCTGTCAACCACCACGACAGAGACATTTTGGCTGGGACACTCAATCTGATCATCTTGTAAAGCGATAGAGACTTGTCAAATGCACATCTGTACATCTGCGGTCTACCATCACCTAAATATCCTGACCAATTAACCCTTCCCTGTAAAAGTTTATATCAGGATGGGACAAATCCCAGAAGCCAATGCTCCTTAATAATGAACTGGCACCTAACTTACAAGGTTTTCTTTAGTTTGTGTCAATGGAGCTGGCTCCTAAAAAATCCTGCTCGCTTGACTGGCTCTTAAATTCCAAAGTAATTTTTCCACCCATGCATTCCATCTAATTACAAGGCTTCATGGTTTAAAAGAGAAGTGCAGCCAAAACTTTTGTGGTTTTACTTTTCTTTTTACTATTATTAACTAATATACTCCTGTGATCCAAAGCCAGCCGATTGCGACAATATTGCTGGTATCCACCCGGCTGCCTGGCAGTTTGCTCTGCCTCTCTAGAGCCAGCTGCGCATGTCCCCTCCCCTGTCTGTAAGCGCTGGAGGAACAGAGATATGAGGGGGGAATCCCTGCAGGGAGCAGTAAGTGTCAATGATTGTTATCTGCAGGGAGGAAACCATGAGCTGAGTAATCAGCAATTCATGATCACTCAGCTCTCGGTATATAGAGCCGGTGTGTGACAGCTGCAGTGTCCTACGCTCACTATGCTGTTGTCCACCCTCCGGGGCAGAGAAAGCATGTGAGGTCTGGAAGTTTTTTATTTATATATTAAATACAACATATAAATGTATCAGACCCAGTTTCAGCTGATGACTAAAGGGAAAGGTCAGGATAGAAACATGAAGGACATACAGCTCACCCCAGGGTGTTTCCCGCTGACTCACTCTCTGGACGCTTTGTCAAGACAGGGCTTCCATACCCTTTTGTACTAATACTCTGTACCATGGCATCAACCTTGTGTGTTGTTTTACTGTAAACTGACAAAACTTCAATAAAAATGTATTAAAACAGAAACATGAAGACTGTCATTGCTCAAACCTTGAGGCCATCATTCTCATCCTTCATTCACTAACCTAGTTCAGTATTCCACCAGTAGAAGTATGCAGCCAGTGGGCATGGAACTCACAAAGCACTAGGTAGTGAAGCAGATATGAGAATGATGGCCATCTGCACAACTTCCATCTTCAAGCTATATCAGCTTCCATATTTCCATTCTGACATGCAATCCTCTCAAACTGTACCTGAGGTTTGTAGGCATTGTGGCTGGAAGAAGGTTTGGGAATTGAACTATTGGTATACAGGTTCACCAGCTTGCTGCCAGTATCTGCACCATTCCAGCACCAACTATTGGATCTGTAGGCAGCCGATTGCTTTAGAGAAAAAGAAACATATGTAAGAAAGAAACCACACATGTAAAACTGTAAGCCCAATTCACCAGTCTAACCAATGCATGTTTTATTTACTATAAACAATATCAGCCATGTGCTATTTCCAGCTATCATTAACTACTTATGGCAAGTAAGGATTCATTTAGATTAGTGACCTGAGCCTAATGGGTCTTATTTATCAGAGAACTAGCTGTATTATGCCAAAGAGGCCAATAGGAATTCAACATTGACTCTTCTCCTCTGTGATTCTCTAGGTTAAAATTATAGAACTCCATGGGAGTCAAATAAAAAAGATATACTTACCTCAGCCTTGGTCCGGCAGCAGTCAGCACTCACCTCTCTACCCCTCTGCTCTGGCTAGGAAATGTCCCTTGGAGTCCTCACATCTAATGTAAGTCAATAGATCTGCATTAGACCTGATGACGTCAGTGGTCCTTAGACCGCAGAGAAAGGAACTTCTTCTGCATGGGAAAATGGCCTGCATGGCACGGTCTAGCAGCTTGATGTGACTGAGGATCAGGTGAGTATATCTGCTTTATTTGACTCCACCTAGAGAAAAAAAAGCACTTAAGCCTTGCGGTACAGGGGTAGCCTCGCTGCACGGGTGTTTAAAATGCCTGGAGTTCCTCTTTAAGGGCTCGTTCACACTTGATACATTCGGGCTGTGTGTTTTTTCCAGCACAAGACAAAGCAACACTGTGTGTGCTGAAAGAAGTACAGCATGCAGTACTTTTTATTAGTGCACCGCAGCAAGACATGGTACATAGTTACATAGTATTTGGGGTTGAATAAAGACATATGTCCATCAAGTCCAACCCATATAGGTACAATCGTATTGCACTGTGGTGTGCCCATAGAACTTAAAGGAGAACTAGGGCAAAACCTTTTTTGGTGTTAGTTTTTTTTTTTTTTTAGTAAATGTCCTCCGGTGACCTAAATCTCGGCAAATAGCTATTGCCCGCTATATGCTGACAGCACAGAGCCATGCTGCAGCCGAAAAAGATCCAGACAAAATTGTTGGGATCCACCCCACTGCCTGATTGACAGCTGGCTCTGCCTCTCTATAGCCAGAACCAGCTGTGCCCGCCCCCTTCCCCATCTGTCCCTCCAGTCAGCACTGGAGGACCGGAGAAGAGGGTAGAGTCCGAGAGAGCGGTGTGACTGATAGTAACAGCTATCGCCAACTGAGCCATCAGCGGTATATAATCGCTCAGTTCTTGATCAATAGAGCCGATATGTGACAGCTCCAGTGTCCACTCTAACTATCAGGATGAGTGTATTTTCTCCTTTAATAAAATGTCACTTGTGACATCTGAATAAAGTTCTAACAAAAAAAGTGTGATGCACCTCGATCGAGCGCATCAGCACTGTGCTGGGATGCTGCTGTGAACAAGCCCTAAGGCTAGGTTCACACCTGCACTACACTGCACCCCGGGACGCGCGATCGTGTGCCAGCGCACACAGCGTGGCACCATTGATTTCCCAGGGGTTGACATCAGCGCGGCACTCGCTAAAAATAGGTATAAGTACCTTTTCTTGCAACACACGACGCGCTGGTTTTTTTTAGTCGCGATTGTGTACTCGATCCGCCCGGCGTGACTGGTGTGGCATTAGAAAATAGTGGCACCCACAGCGCGATTGGTTCACATCTTGGAGACTCCAGACCACGTGGCAATCGTGCACAAAACCACACGGATTGCCGCGCAGTCAGGAGTCGCCTAGGTGTGAAACTAGCATAAGAACCTATTCACACTGAGCGATTTGTAGCGCGATTTCAGCTCAAAAATCGCTTAAATATCGTTCAATGTAGCTCGTCCAATGCATTGCAACGGAGCTGTTCACATCTCACAGCTCAATGTCGCCTGCAGATCAAGCTTGTCGCTTGAACATGACCTAATTTTCCAGCGGATTTTGTGCGATTTGGCCCCTGTAGGCTTTGACAGACTGCCAAAAGAAGCGCTACGTAGAGCGACAAAATGTGCACTGTAGCTCAATGTCGCTCAGCTCAAAGCATCTTTTTTTGATGTAGTTCAGTGTAAATGGGGTCTAAATCAGATTTGTGGCACTGGGATAACCCAGACAGGTCTTGTGAGGGACGCTGATAGATCAGACATATACCTATAAGGACCAGCCCCCATTGGGCTGTGATGACCAAAGCAATTTGTCCTTATGTCCTATCAGTGTATGTCTGAAGAAAAGAGGGGGCCATGCTGTATTTTTTTTTCTTCAGAGCAGCGTGTTGCAACGCACTAAACCGCAACGCAACACGTTGCAGTGAATAAAGATGATTGAAATGTCATTTTAATAAAGTTTTTTTTTTTAAATGGAGTATGACACAATTGCTGGTGCTACCCAAGCATTAGGATGAACACACAGGTAAGCGGGCAGAACTGTCACTGCTTATCACAAGTGGTGAGAAATCGGATGCTGTTCAAGCAGACCGTCACTCCAAAATATGACTGCACAAGTGTAACCCTCCCGCCATGTTTCATGTTAGGCCCTGGATATTGGTAGAACATCAAACATGGTCCAAAATGTAATGAAAGGCACTTTCCCTTTTTTTTTTTAGAACCCCCCTACGCTTACAGACACTGGGCCAATGTGAACCAGTTACAGAACTGGTGAGGAGCATCCACCTGTATGTTCTACTGTTATGATTGGTCTTTGGTTGCCTTCTGACATTTTGGAATTCTTTTTTAGGGAAGAAGTAGCAGTTTTCTAATTTCGGGGTCCCCCAATTACTAAGTATAAGGACCTCTTAACTCAGGCCTCAGCATACAATGACTGAGAACACAGTGAAGAGACCCACAGAGGCCCGTTTCTTCTTCACATGACCAGCTGCTACAGGTTACAGTACAGTCAGTACACCGCGGCCTATGGAGTACGGTGTACGCCTTACTACATAGAAGGTGTCTGCATTTCCCGGGTAATACACCGCAGGGACCGCACTGGACTCGCACACGCTTCAGTCACACATCCCGCCACCTCCGCACTCACCTCCATAGCTGCCGCCATTCTCCCCTCACACCGTGTTAGGCGCGCAACTCACCCTCCGCATCTTATAACTTCGCACAAGCCCCGCCCCCGAGTGCCCGTTACTTCGCGCGACCTGGGTCTGCCCCAGCAACTAGAGCTATACTCCGCCTACGGGGAGGGGCGTGGGCCCACGGTTTCTCTCCGATTGGACAGGAGTGATGTTTTTACCGGATTGGCCTCCGTTTTCCTGCCGCTACTTTACAGAAATGGAGTGAGCTAGCTGATTGGTCGGCTGTAGGGTGGGCGTGGTGCTCTGGAGGTATAGTTACTGAGGAGGTGGGCAGATAGGGGGCTCGGTTGGTAATAGTGTGATGTAGGAGTGACTACAAATGTGCTTACAATTAAAGAGAAACGAAGCCAAAAGCTCTTTAGTGTTAAATAGGATAAAGTTATAAACTCTGCCCTTTTATTTTCAGCTGTGTCCCCTTGGGAAGCTTTCCCCCCACTTCCTGTTCTATAGCCACAACTAGGGTTGCCACCTTTTCTTCAAGCCAAACCCGAATACTGTAGTGCCTAGGGGCAATTTTTTTGTAAAGTATACATTATGCATATATTTTGTGATGAAATAACATTGGAGTTCATCACAACTTGCCCGTGTCCCACAGATCCCCAGATATACATTCTGTACATAAACCATGCCCCCATAAGATGCCAGTGTGCCCCAGATATACATTCTGTACATAAACCATGCCCCCATAAGATGCCAGTGTGCCCCAGATATACATTCTGTACATAAACCATGCCCCCATAAGATGCCAGTGTGCCCCAGGTCACAGGACAGTTTTTCTAAAACAATACAGACTAATGATTTGAGGGCATGGGTGGAGCACCAGAGCCATGTCCGCGCTGCAACCTCTGTGACCCTGGGAGTTCTTGTGCAAATGCCAAGTATTGGCCCTGCTATCTGAACATCCGCACAAATTAGGGATGCACCGATACCAGGTTTTCAATATTTTCCTGTACTCGCCGATACCGAGTAGCGGTGCCTTGTACCCCGATTATCAGGAAGTCAGGCAGCGGATCATGACCCGTCGCCCGGCTTCCTGATTGCCTGTGAAGCCGGTGTTCTAGCGAAAGAAAATCGGCTTCACTTGAGGCTGCCTGGCAAGTCATGAGGTGCCGTCCAGCTTTACTGATTGGTCAGGAAGCCAGACTGCCTAGCAACAAGTGAAGCCGCCTTCCTAGCCAATCAGGAAGCCAGGCGGCACGTCATGACCGACCTTCCTGATTGGCTAGGAAGCTGGCTTCACTTGTTTCTAGGCAGCGTGGCTTCCTGACCAATCAGGAAGCCAGGGCACGAGTCATGAAGTAGCACACGGATTCCAGATTGGTTAGGAAGCCAGGCTGCCTACCAACAAGTGAAGCTGGCTTCCTAGCCAATCAGGAACCCGGGAGGCGGGTCATAACCCACCACCCAGCTTCCTGATTGGAAAGGAAGACCGACTCCATGCTCCCTGAGTTACTAGCCACAAGTCCGGTTTGTATAATGTGCCCAGGTGTGAGGTGGGCTCACACTCGGCACAGGATTCCAAACCCGGACTGTCCGGGTGAATACCCTACTGTAGGAGGTTAACCCCTTGATGACCCATGACAGAATAATTCCGCCATGGGTCAATAAGGGGTTAAGCAGACTGTGTTCATATATGTAGAGCCGCCGGCCGGCTTTACAGTAGCAGCGATTTTGGCAACTCGCTTCTATGGGCAAGTAAACTGTCCGCCCAACGACTACATGCCCCCCCGCGTGCGCGTTTCCCGGGCTCCTTTGCTCTCCTTGCGGACCTGGGACCGGCATCTCGGGTGTCGGTGGGAAGCGGGGGAGGAAAGCGGAGAGCCTGGGTTCACCGATCTCCTCCCCGTTCTATGGGACCGGGAGCGATGCCGATTACATCACTTCTGGTACCATAGCTGTCAGTGCTGGACTTCCCCTCACTTCCTGTCCTGCCAACAAAGTTTTCCCAGACAGGAAATGAGGGGAACTCCCAAACAGCAACACCAATCGAAATGCTTTTCTCTAGGAAGGGGAGGCTAGATTATTTTTATTTCTGCCTGTGTTGCTGTTGTAGATCTTTCTCCACTTCCTGCCTAGTGAAAGCATAGTCAGTAGGACATGAAGTGAGAGTAAATTTCTCTAACTGAGCCCCATATAAACTTGAAAGGAGATTTAATCCTTTCCCTCTGTATCCAAAACAACAAAAATACACATGCACTAGGGGTAGCTAAACGTCAGTCGGCCAGCTGTGGTGAAACTACAAATTCCATCATGCCTCTGACTCTAGGGGTCATGCCTGTGGCTGTCAGAGTCTTGCAATGCACAATGGGATTTGTAGTTTCATCACAGCTGGAGCACGGAAGTGCAAATAAAAGAGACGGGGCAGACACAGATATGGCCATCAGGGCCCGCTCCACATACTGACTGCGGAAGGGGCACTGTAGTCTCAGTAGGTGGGCACCATAGAGGTGGCCATACACGTGGCAATTGTATAGGAAGATCGTTCTAGGGGTTGTTTGCTGGTGAGTTGCCCCCCATCCATTGGATTGCTAATGAGCCCCGGCCTGTACAATGGCTTGTCCCATCACTGTTCTACAGATAGGAAGTGGCTCAGTTATGATGGGACGGGCCTGTCAGCTTCAAGCAGGCCTTCACCCTCTTCACTAGTGATGAGCTTCGGGTTCCGATGGACCATGACTTCAACCCGAACCCAAGCTGCTCACTGTTCACCACATAGAAAAAAAATCTGGACAGTTCATCCGTTGCCAAACCTCCGTCTGTATCCTAGCAACCAATGATGTGTTGTGGGCAGCGTCATCATTGGTTGCCTGGTGGTCGAGCCGCGCAGCGTCATTGTTTGACTGGTGGCTAAGCCGCACAGCGTCATTGTTTGACTGGTGGCTAAGCCGCACAGCGTCATTGGTTGCTAGGATGCAAAGCGTCACTGGTTGCTAGGATGCAAAGCATCGTTGGTTGCTAAAATGCTGGCAGCCCCACAGCATCATTGGTTATTATGGAATGGCCCTCTGTATCCTAGCAACTAATGACACTGTGTGGCCCAGCTGCTAGCATCCTAGCAACCAATGACAAGGTGCTACCCATTTAAGTGATGTTGTATGGTCCAGCTGCTAGCATCTCAGCAACCAATGACGTTATGCGGCCCAGCTGCTAGAAACCAGGCAACCAATGTCGCAGTGCGGCTCAGCTGCTAGCATCCTAGCAACCAATTACACTGTGTTCTCCGGCCAAGCTGATAACATCTCAGCAACTAATGACGCTCTGCGGCCCAGCTGCTAGCACCCTATTAACCAATGATGTTGTGCGGCCCAGCTGCAAGCATCCTAGCAACCAGTGATGCTGTGCGGCCCAGCTGCCAGCATCCTAGCAACCAACGACACTCTGGGGCCCAGCTCTTAGAATCCTAGCAGCCAGTGATGCTGTGCGGCCCAGCTGTGTGAGCTGCAACTGTTACAAGGTGACAAACATTCCGAGAGTTCCCCTTTAAACAGTAAGGGTCCCTCTTACAACTACAGTTATTTCAGTCTTGAGCAGGCTCCTCTCCGGTACGTATTCTGATTTTACTGCACACTGTGAGCTTCTTACAATGTGTATTAGAAGCTCCAGCAAGTCAGATAGTCGCCAATAGTGAGGGTGAATGTCATCAATAGGGGAGCACACAGCAAGAAAAATGCATTCTATCCAAAACGAAAAAAAAATATGTTTGGTTGCTATGGGCAACAGCTCCAATTTTGTGTTCATTTTCTTTTTTCCAGTTGTCAGGAATCAGCCCCTTTGCGGCAAATGGACCGTTTGTGATATTGAGAGCCAATTTCATTTGTGTTGCAATGTCTTATAATGGTCAGTAGAGGGAGGAAACACACTGCAGATCATTCCTGCCAAACTGCATGTCTGTGTCACTTCATAGATCACTGTGACTTTATCTGGAAAATGTAACCCAGCAGATATGTAACCCTATTACCCGAGATGTACTATAGCAGGAAGTCACTGCAATATATATACGCAACACCCACCTAATGTGATCAAGTGTGGAGTGAAGAAATCCAGCTCCACCACTGTCACATCATCTATTTCAAATCTGGTGCACCTGAATGTTCCATATTTATGGGGCGTAGTGAGTAACAGCAGAGCCCTCATCTTCAGACTTATTATAGGGGAGCCCAAAGGATTTCTGTCTATCCAGTCCTCAGGGCTGTCTTTAACGCAGGGCAAAAGGGGCAGTTGCCCTGGGCCCAGTCATTGTTGTGGGGCCCAAGGCAGCTACCGCTTGAGCCCGCAAAAAGATACACATGCGTCACGGTTCTGTTTACTATGCGATCATCGTATAGTGTTGCTCCACCTCTGCCGTACACTGCATAGCGCGACCCCAGGGGCATGTCTCCCTCTGACGTTTCCTCCTATCTGCTGTTTTGGAGAGCGACAGTGCATGGTGGGTAGGGGGCGGGGGGCCCAAGAAAGTTTTTCGCTCTGGGTCCAATGAATATTAAAGACGGCCCTGCCAGTCCTGAGTGTTACATAGCGCAACTAGACTTGTGACCTCATTTTTCTCTGCTGCAGTTAAGCAACGCGGCTAGGTCTCCTTCCTACTGTGATTGGATAGTGAAGGAGCAGCAACAGACTGATGAAGTCATCTCTCTGATTAGTGCCACCATTGGAGGGGTCATTTTGGTGTCACCCCCTATGAAAAGTCGGGCACTCGGTCAGAGACCGAGAGCCTGACAGTGTCAGGAGAGAGGAGGGGACCCAGCATCATACCTCATCCCGCCGGTTGAATGTCCCCTCCTCTCTCTGCCAGCGCCCATCACCAAGATGGCCGCCGGGAGGCGTCAGTAAGACGGCCGCGCATGCGCAATTACGTCACAGCGTAATTGTAGTGCCCCTCCCTCTCCCAGCCTGAGTACTGCTGTACACGGGATTACAAGAGACTAAAATCAAGTCAAAATCTGACATTTATACTAGTTGTATTTCAAAT